ACTAGTCCACTCAGATGTTTTAAAATCTTCATTCCTGGAGAAGTTTAACAATCAAACACTTGATAAAGAACATTATGTCCTGCGATGAATACTCACTGAATGTTCTTTTTTAGCTGTATCCTGTACCTCAGTAGTAAAGGAAACTCTGGTTATCATTACTCTATTAACTACTCCATCTGTTCCTCATACACATACCAGGATTTCATGGCAAGGGAGATCAAGAAACACCACCGAGATCAGAAAAATTGGTAACAGCTTTTTAAACATTCATGAGGTTCTTTGACCTAGATAGACTTTTGCAGCTGAAGACAGCCATATTAAGAATAAATCATTATTTGCAAGAGATACATACACTCTTCTAAAAGTTCCCTAGTTGACCATCAGCATGGCCATATGGCCTTCTGGGGCTCTATCTTTAAAGTAATTCAATCAGTTTGCAGCAAGGAATGTAAATATGATAATCTTACAGAAGGATCAAAAAGAAAGGTAAAGTGGCTTGTATTCTTGCCCTGAGTTTTTTGGTCCCTGTCTGCAATGACTATATATGCTCCTTCCATATTGAAAAAGAGCCGACCTGATGATCTCTTCCCTATGACAGAGCAGGCCTGTAGCTCTCGTGCTGTCTCTGTCTCTCTCTTACTCACTCAATGGGGTGCAAAAAAACCAGAAAGTACAAAAAAGAGGAAAGGCAGTAAGTGGTGCTGAAGTATTTTGGAAGGTTAAATTAGCACAGTACCTATCTCATATCCCTATACACTAGCAAAGGTCAGGGCTGGGAACTGTGACTTGTATCTTTGTCCTAGTTCTACTTATAAATTTGACCAAATGAATTAACCTTCCTAAATTGTCATGTAAGATGTTAGGGCTAGGTAAGTGGTCCATCATAGTCCAAGCAGGTGAGCGGTTATTGTACAAACCTATCCCTCTACATGCAGGCCAAGTTTCTAGGATTTTAAGCATCCACAGTGGTGCAAGCCTTTGAAGTAAAGCTGCTTCTTGGGGCAGACGGAGCACACATTTCTAAGGTCCTTTGGCCTAGGGATCCTCAATCGTCTAAGATGACTGGGGGGGAGGGGTGTTTGTTTTTGTTGAGTGTGTGTGTGTACTAAGGCTTGAGCACAGTGCCACGAATCTATACTTGAACTTTTTTGCTCAACCTTAGCGCTCTACCACTTGAGCATAGCCTCACTTCTGGCTTTTTTGTGGTTAATTGGAGATGGAGAGTCAGGAACTTTCCTGCTCTGGGGTTGGAACCATGATCCTCAGTCTTCAACCTTCTGAGTAGTTAGGATTACAAGTGTGTGAGCCACCAGTCTATGGCTGTCTGAGGCTAGTTTTTTGTCCCTGATCTCAATTAGAACCATGTAGGCATCTTTTTTAAAGTTACATTCTAGTTTCTAAATCTAAATAGTGCTGTTAGTTTCTATTGTTTCATCTCTTCAAATATATGGCAGTGCCTACATTTCCAATCTTTTTATTAGAAACTCTGAGACAAGGACTGTTATATTTGTTTCTCTCTCACAATATGCAGTCATAAACTGGTCCTAGGCAAAACAATCTGTCTCCTTAACATTTTATAACTTTCCTACATACAACAGAAAACATATTAATTCCTTCCTAAAAGTCCAGACAGTCCTAAGACTGAAGACATTTTCAAAAGTTCAACTCCAAAATCTATAATGAAATCCAAGGCAAACTTTAAAGTTATCTTCTTAAAAAGTCAAAAAAAAGTTATATTCTTCCAAGATAGAATAGAATACAGGAATCTTTCTATTCCAAAAGGAAGAAAAAGGTGCACAGAACAGACATATGGGACCAAAGCAATACCAATCCCAGAAGAGCAAATATTAAATCCTGTAGTACTCTGGACCACATAGTAGCATGATCTGAGTTCTGAAGTGCATAGGTGGGGAAACCCATCCAGTCTTGCTTTGTTCAGCCTACATGACCTTTCTCTTCAGCTGACCCGACTTGTTGATTGAGGCTTTCTTTGTTAGATGGTTCATGTTCCTGGCATTTCTAATTTCCTAGAGTTTCTTCTGTACTGTTGGCTTCATTCTCACAGCTTCTTGACCCCTGTTATCAGGAGCTGCCCTCAGGGATTCCAATCTTGGTACATTATTTTCTAGCCTTCCAGACTTTCCTTTCAAATTTTGGTGGATGCTTCCATGATCACTAAATTCTTGCACTCTTCATGTCTTCAAGGCCTGCACTGTGTGTGTGGTGCTAAGTTCTTCCTCTAGCTGGAGCAGAAGCTGGGGACCTAGATTGTGACTGCAGTTGCCTCTAGGAAGCAGGGCACAGTAAAATGGATTCTCAGGATAGGCAATTCTGTACAAGCAGAATTCTGGAGTGATATTCTCTTCTCAGGGGAATCTTTCAAATGATTTCACCCTTTCCCACTCTACAGCCCATTCATGATAGATAGAGGCTCTAGTGGATTACTGAACTACCTTCCAGACATCTTTACAATCTTCTAGTATAAAACATTCATTCCTTAGCTCCAAATTTACTTAGGCTATTGGGAGGCGGGGGAGGGAGAAACAAAAAAAAAAAACTGCAACACTTCTTGCTTCCAATTCTTTCTATAAACCTCATTGAAAGCAGCCAGTAATACTTGCACAATAGCCTGAATGTGTGAAATTTCCCCCATCAGATTCATTAGTCCATGTGTAAATTCAACCTCTACTTCTCCTATTAAAAAAAAATCTTAGGGTAGAGACAAAAATGCAGATAAGCCGGGCGCTGGTGGCTCACGCCTGTAATCCTAGCTACTCAGGAGGTTGAGATCTGAGGATCGTGGTTCAAAGCCAGCCCAGGCTGGAGAGACTGTGAGACTCCTATCTCCAATAAACCACCAGAAAACCGGAAGTGGTGCTGTAGCTCAAGTGGTAGAGTGCTAGACTTGAGCTGAAGAGCTGAGGGACAGAGCTCAGGCCCAGAGTTCAAGCCCTACAACCGACAAAAAAAAATGCAGACAAGTTCTTCTCCATATGTAACACAAAAAGTCTTTCACCCAATTCCCAGGAGTTCTTGTTTCAATGTGAAACACTTTGAGCAGTCTTTATTCTCTACATTCCTGTCAGCATTCTGGTCTTCTGAGCTCCCAGCAGAATGCCCATTAAGCTCTGCGAGGGCTTCTCTAGCCTGCATCTCCAAGCTTCTCCAGGGCCTCTGATCCACATCGTTGTCATAGTAATAACTCCACCCTTGACAACAACTCTTATTCTTTTTCACTGTTGTGACAAATACCTGAGAGAACACTGCTGGAGGAAGGATTTGTTTTGGCTTATGGTTTCAGGTTTTAGTTCATAGTTGTTTAAAAATCCCAGTGCTGTGAGCCTGTAGTAAGGCAAGAATCATGGCAGAGCTAGTAGAGTAGAACTGCTCATGGAAGGCCAGGAAGCAGAGAGACAGAATGCTTATGCTGGTGGCTTCTTTCTTCCTGTTTTATTATCTTCTAGGATGCCCACCTATAGGATGGTAGCACCCACATTCAGGATAGGTCTTCTGTGTTAATTTATTATCTCTGGAAAAGCTCTCATAAACACTTGCAGAAGTTACTTTACTAATTCCCTAGGAATCTCTCAATCCAAATGACTTAATAGCCAAGATTAACTATCACATATATACTAACAATATTATTAAGTCAGGGGTCAAAAATTATAACTCATGGACCAAATCCAACCTATTGCTCATTTTTTTCCTATTGCTTATTTTTATAAATAATATTTTACTGGAAAATAGTCATGCTAATTTGTTTATTAATTGTCTATGGCTGCTTTCATTCTGTAAGACCAGTTTGATTAACTACAACAGAATCATGTGGCCAAGATAGGTTTTAGAACCTGAAATATTAACCATCTGACCCTTCATAGGAAAGATTGACAATTTTATTTAAAGCATAGCTGGTGTCAACTGACATGAAGATACAGTATGTATTACAATATTTACTACTGTACACCATTTGGACTGTATAACAACCATAGACTGGTTGGTTTAAACAATATTTATTTCTTATCTGGAGAACAGAAGTCACCATGATCAGTGGGGAGGACTTTTTTCTGTGTTGCAGTCTGTCTACTTCTATTTGAATCTTCACGTGGCAGGAAGCACACTAGAGGGCTCAGTAGGGTCCCTTTATTATAGGTACTATCCCATTCAAGAGGGCCCTACCTTCATGACTAATACTTTGCCAAAGGTAATCATGATAGGAGTTTAGATTTCAACTTATGAATCTGAGGGAGACACATTCAGATGTGATGCCCAGTACTCCCACTGACTATGTACCTCCAATAGCTGCCTGTTGGCACTAGTGCGAGATACTATAGTGTAGCTCCCCAACTTTGCCTTGAATATGCTTTGTCCCTTCTTGTAGGTTTGTCCTCTTACTTCATATGGTAATGGCATTAATAAGGTGGAAACATGATCTGACTGGGATATTTAGAGAGTGGCTACTCTGGAAGGCAAATTAGCTTAAATAAAATCATTAGGATGGAGGCCCCATAATTAAACTCTAGAGGCATTGTAAGGTGGCCAGAGACCTAACATATAATCATATGTTCTATCTCTCCTAAGTGATGCCATATGATGCCTAAGCCAGCAAGGCCATCACCAGAACCGAGCTTGTACTAGCACCATGTCCTGGAATCTTCCTGAATACATAAATGGAGTAGAGGGTAAAGAACTGTACACTTAAAATTAAATTTTAATGTTCTGATAGCCACAGATTAAAAATCAGGGACTCGGTTCTAGTATAAATATCATATATGAACAACTTCATACCTAATCATGTAATTTTGTTCTGTGCCACAGTTGCTAAAGCTTCTTGGTTACCCTTCCCCCACCTAATTCTAGGAAACCTGGAGATACAATTACATAACATGTGAACTATTGTACCCTACCATAAGCGAGTGTTATTTGAAAGGAGAGCTCTATATTAGAGAATACAATAATTTTTAAAACAAGTTAAAATGTATTGAATGAAATAAATTTCTTACCTGAGCTACTGAAGTAGTACTGATATCCTGGGTAACCAATACTGGAGGAAAAAATGCCTACACATGAAGGAAACAAATACTTTAATGATAGCCAAGAGGACTTAACTGTTTAGCTTTCTAACAATTAGGAGGCTCTTTATGACAAAGACTAGGGTCATTTCAAGTGATTTCTGAATAATTGTTAAACTCCCTTTAGTTCAGGCCCAGCCCTGTAGGGAACTGGAAATACATACGTACATACATACATACATACACACACATACACACACACA